CGGTAGTGAATGTAAATAGCAAAGGACGATAAGGGCTCTATCTTCCTGGGTAATACCTAGTCCTTCCGTTTTTCCAAGCAAAGCACAGTATTATGTGTGTCTACGACAGCAATTAAAGTTCGCGGGCAAAGACAAGCGTTTGACTTGACCAACATCAAATAAACTAAACCAGTGCCCATTCACTGATCTCAACTCAACAATGAAGACCTGATTTGCTGTAATTAGAAAATTATTGTGCCAAAGTACTTAGTAGGGTTACTGGACAGCCAAAATTACACTATTTTCTTCAGTTTCCCAATTCCAATTTCTAGTCATATGTTTGCCGGTTTGCTTTATGAAAACCTCCTGGAGCATCTTCCTGCAACTATGAAAAATTTAGATCAACATAAAACTTGTTTATGTTTGACCAGTTGTCACCCGTTCATTAGCATACGACATATGACCATACAACAGCTGATAAAGCGCCCTACATTCATATGTCAGTCAAACTTTGGAGAAGACCCATCTGAACTTTACCCCTTTCCGAGAACTAGCAGTTCGAAATGGATCGTGGAACTATTTTACAGTTCACTAACTGCAAAATTCTCAGGGACCATGTAATTCAGAAAGAAGATCTATGGGTAAGGGATGGTAAAATCATTGATCCAGAAAAGGTATTCTTTGACGAAAAAGTTATATCTGCCAAAAAATTCGACTGTCTTGGTACCCTCATCGTCCCCGGCTTCATTGATCTACAGATAAATGGTTGATCGACTTTTCCTTTCGTTTCAATTTTTTTTTCCTGATTGTGACGAAGGTAATTTTCCATTCTATCCCTTTCTTACAGGTGGGTTTGGGGTCGATTTTTCTCATAATACTTCTGACAGTGAGCGTGGGCTTGCTAAAGTAGCTCATGGTCTTCTCGCACATGGTGTCACTTCGTTTTGTCCAACTCTAGTTACTTCCAAACCTCATATCTATCGAGAGGTACATTTCCTTGTACTAATCAAATCGAATTTTACCATCAATTTTTTAATGTCAACATTTGCGTGTAGGTGTTACCAAAATTGAAGCCTCAACAAGGGGGAAGACATGGTGCTACCATCCTTGGAGTACACCTAGAAGGTCCCTTCATTAGCAAACAGAAGAAAGGAGCCCATGATGAAGACACTATCGCTTCCCTCACCGAGGTAACAGTGTGTCTTCATGTAAAATAGGAGTTTGGAGAAAATAAATTGATAGGATGTGTTTTTCAGGGCTGTAAATCACTTCTTGATGTTTATGGGCAACTCGATAATGCATCTATTGTAACATTAGCTCCTGAGCTTCCTGGTGCAGATGAGGCTATCCAATGGTTGACCAAGAAAGGAATTACTGTGTCTTTAGGTGAATTCATTTCCAATGTTACTTCTATTTTCTTGATGGTTCTAAAAATAATTAAAATTTATTTATTGTAGGTCACTCTATGGCAAATTTGCAAGAGGGTATCCATGCTGTACTTCAGGGGGCAACTTTTATCACACATCTCTTCAATGCCATGCTGCCAGTATGAACCAGCTTTTTCTACATTCACTTGATTTCTGTCAAGGGAAATGTGCCTACCAAAATAATTTCTTTTTGCTAGTTTCATCATCGGGATCCTGGACTTGTTGGTCTTCTTTCTGCTGATATGCCAAAAGATCGTACAGTCTACTATGGGATTATTTCAGATGGGGTACACACTCATCCTGCAGCTCTTCGAATTGCCTACAGAGTTCATCCAAAAGGTTTCTCTTTGGTGGTTTTTGAAAAAAATATAAACTTTCTCTTCACATGCTATATGTTAGCGTTTATCTTTTCTCAAAGGCATTGTGCTGGTAACTGATGCCATATCAGCTCTTGGCTTGGAAGCAGGCACTCATAAAATTGGTCAAATGTCTGTTGAAATTCGGGATCAGAAAGCTTTTGTGGCAGGCACTGATACTCTCTGTGGCAGTATTGCAAGTATGAATGACTGTGTGAAACATTTCAAAGTAGCATCAGGTATGTCACCAAGCTTAAGTTCCATTTTTGTTCCTTATCTTCTTTTCGATGTAATTTAATTCAAATTTTATGTTTAGGTTGCAGCACAGTGGAAGCTATAGAAGCTGCGACTCTGCATCCGGCACAAGTTTTGGGGCTCCATAAGAGGAAAGGCACCCTCAGTTATGGTGCTGATGCTGATTTTGTAATGCTAGAGCCTGAAAATTTGTCTGTTCTGTCAACTTTTATTGCTGGTGAATGTGTGTATACTAAGTAGAGTTTACAATTTTCAATTTTGCTACACAAGTGTTTTGAAATATTTCAATGTTTTAGCATTTACAAATTTTCCAGTTCAAATATTCCAGCGTCATATAACAGGGTGAAAAAAATATTAGAAATTTGAAAAATTATTTAATTCCTCGTGGGCACGTGATTTAAAAAATAAAAAAAAATACACAAGTGTTAGTGTTGTCTCTGTATGAAACCGATCAACTGATAGAAGCCTGCTCTTTTAATACAAAGATAATGAATGATTGATGTGTCCCCACCTCCAAGAGACTGGCCCTAAAATCAAATCAACAATCTAATATGTATTATTGGTCCAACATTATGATTTATAACAATTTTACCTCAGGCTGTGCTCACATTTGCTGTGTTAAATCTTGTGAAATGTACATATGTTTTTAAAGGTTCTGTGTGGGGCATATAACTTCCAAGTTTGTATTTTTATATGTTGACATAGAAGTAGTAATAACTGGTAAGTGGTAGAACTAGTTCATTCTTGTCATTTATAAAAAAAAATTTGTTACTTAAATGTTTTTAAAGACAAATATTTATAAGTTTGTTATTTCATATTTAAAGATCATAGAAATATTATGAAGTCAAGTTTATTCATAGAGATTTCATAGCAACAACTGCCCTGTGGGACACATAATATTTTAACCAATTTCTGGCTACAGTATAATTACCTACAGTACATAGTCGCAAAGATACAAACTGACATAAGTAATGGTTGGTAACTTCAAAAGTTGATAAACAACAAGTTGTATAAGACAAACATTCTGTGTAGCCAGAAAGAAACACAAATTAACACATCAGTGGACTGCACTTCAGAACAGAAAACAGCAGTTCCAAAGACTGTCATATTCATCCAATGTCTCCAGTAAAAGTCTACAAGTAGTTTCAAATCACAGAGAGAATACATCCAGTGAATAAAACCATTAGAAAAAAAAACAAATCAACAAAAAGCAGAAAACAAAACACCACATATGCATTTGATCAGAGGTAGTAATCTCACACGAAACAGAAGTTCTACACAAACAGAATAAATAGTTCACAAATAAAAATTCAAACATAATTCATACAACTGATAAGATCATCTTTGTTTAGTATAAGTAAATTTACTCCACACATGTAGGTAGCTTTACAGGGTTCAGACAAATGATTCACCCCCAATTGAAGTTTTGAAAAATTAGTAGAATCACAGGTTGCATTTAAATAATGGGAAATGCATTAATGCTTAGCATCAGAGCTCAAAGGAAATCCTCTAAAATAAGGAGTGTACAAACTGGACAAAACTGGAATGATAATGATTGTAAGCATTACATCCATGAACCTGCTTCAATGTTGCCATAGATAATATGACCATATGCATAGCATACTGTACAATGACACCTTTCTCATTCTTTAATATAAAGGAAACAAGTATGCCATTGTGCATGGAAAACTACTTCGTTTTAACTTTCATTGGGCTACAGAGGTATAAGGTAACAGCTGAGAGCTACATTGGCTGAGTGCAAAATAACATGAAATGAACAATGCAAACAGTACATTACCATATCTCTAGCAAGAAAAATAAAATAAAGTTGCCATAACAGCTTTACACCTAACAGAATCTTTTTTACATGTTTTCCAAACAAAAGCTTAAATCTTCACAAAGATTTTAAAAAGTTTAACTTTTTAGAATGGAAAGCAGTTTGTTTTAGGGTGCACAAAGTTTTCATTCAAAATTTCTGCCAATACAAGAATTAATCTACCTTGAAAAGAGGGCAGGTGAAATATCCCAGTTGTTCAAAATTGTGAACATCTTTCTGATTAGACATAGGTACGATCACAGGAACTAAATAAAATGAAAAAAAAAAAAGTGTAACTAAGAACAAAGCAAACCTTGAAACAGATTGCACAGAAACATCAAGGTGGGCTACTGTAAATGAAAGGTGCTAAATTGGAATATTCAGAGGTTTAACAAAATATTACATGGTATATTTTCCTCTAAATTAAAATCTAACACAAGACGAAAGTTGTAACCCAAATTACAGTACAGTTCATAGTGTCTTTATGGCATCCTTTCTTTTAAAAGGATAAAATTTCTCTTAAAAGAAAACAAAATACTTTGATACATATAAATTAAGATATAATAAAATCTTTAAAACCTACCTAAGACAGAAAGATATTGTTAACTGTTCTAGATAGAGTCACCATTTCTCTGTTCAAGTTTATTGCTATTTGATTTTACGGTATAGATGAAAAAAGTCAAAGCCTCCTTTTCTATCACTGGTATTGTCTTGAAGTGTTTCATTAATACCTGCAGTCACATGAATAAACAATACATTAAACATAGTTCAAGCAACAAAGCAAAATATCAAATTGAAATAAACAGTACTCACATCAGCAAGTTGGGCTTTGTTGAGACCAGGCCTTGTAGCTACTTTGTAGTGTTTTTTGTAGCGGCGCAGAGTGTTGACTTGGAGCTGGAATAAATCAACCTCTGGAAAATCTGTGTCTGTTTCATTGGAATCATCTTCAGAATCCTTTCTCCGCCTTTTGGTTCTTGCACACTGAATCATATTCTTGTGGTGATCACAAATGTAAATGTGTCGGGCCTGTAATAATATAAGTAAAGATAGATAGAGCAAGTTAACACACTAGAAAAAAGAGAGATGATCATACAGAGAATAAAACCAGGTTTACCATAGAATCAAGATGTAACCTGAGCCGTCTTTGTGCCACAGTCTTCTGAATGCGTTTGCTGTAAGAGGCATTTCCAGCAGGGCGTTGACAACGTTCGTTTTCATCGACCAAACAGCAAACTTGGTCTGGGGCACCTCGAGAGTCCTCCTCACCTGTACTGAACCCATTCATCCTGGAGCTCAATCTGCAAGGAAAGGAGGAGTTTAGATTTGTAATTGGAAAGCGGTGCATACACAGGGAGGACCACAAAGGCTCATCATGATAGATTAAACTCATCTAAAGCAAACACGTTAAACAAAAGACAATGAATAGCATAAGGCTTCCAGATCTCACAAACAGATGTTTCTGAAAGACAGCATAATTTTGGTAGTGGGATAAGACAAGTTTTTGACACAGAAATGACACCAAGGTCAGGAAGACTACCTAAGCTAGATACATCCAGAAAGGGTAGCAAAAAGCTGCCAATCAAGTGCACTCTAGCGCTATTGATTCTATTCCATCGTGTATCCAGTGGGATGGTTGCATGTCTCACATCTTTAAGGTTTCTCAACCATATTGACAAACGGGAATCATACCTACGGGGTTGGACGGAACGGCTATGAACAAAATTGCTTAGTTCATCAAAGAGGGACTACAACGCGTCGGGAAAGTAATGGCTCAGCTATTAAAAGACATTCCACGTCGCAAGAATCTATTATTGAGAGCCACGACAACTGACTCGTGTCGAGGTAGAACTTTCACAAAGCGAAAATGAACAAAGCATCTCAAACACCGACAGACGAGAAGTACTTTTCAGAATGTGAAGCAGAGGCAGCAAAACTATGAAAAACTGGAACAGAGCCGAAGAAATGCATCCCAATGCAAGACCAACGCACCCGGCTTATTCACCCACCAAAAACGTGATGCAGAGAGATAGTGGACTTCTTGCAATGGGATCCAGATCAAATACTCCTCTGGAACTGGTTAAATGTATACAAGCGAATCAAGGCTTCATACTTACATGATTAGCAAAAGACAGGGATACAATTATGCACAAAAACCGCAAGCTTTTGCGAAAGTATCTTCAAAAGTCTAGCCCATGCAAGGAGAACACGGGCCTTGGTAGCAGCAGAGGGCACACGATTGCAGCCGCAATTTCACAGTTGTTGTTGTGACTCTTTGATAAAAAGAAAAGTAGGAAAACAGCTTTCTGCTGGTTGGCCTATACGGACAACGTTAGTCAAAACCAGGTTTGTTCTTTGCGTGTGTCGAAAAATATTTACAGCCGAAGACGCGAAACAAATATTGGTCTCAAGTTATAGGCTTTCAAATTTTAGTGTAGGAAGAGATCATTAAGCTTTTTCTTCATCGAATTGAACTGTTTTTAAAGTTAAAACAAAACATGTATCTGCTTAGTGTATTCAAAATTATTTGCCGCCAGTGTATGGTAGCGACGATGTGATTGGCAAGAAAGACCAACTTTCATTGTGAACAAGCTGCAGCCGGATTGGTGCAGGATTGGCGCGGAATCCGAATTGGACCAATAGGTAGGCTCCGATTCTCCCTATGCTTTGCTCACGTTGTTGTACCGTAGCGTGGGGTCGCTAGTCTCTGTTCGCTCCCATACCGAGTCAACACAGGTAGGATTATTTTTATATTGGTGCTATCTGGTGTTGTCAGAACTTGTCATATTCAGGATTGAAGCCCTGAAATTTGTCGAAGCGAAGTAGGTAAGCGCTACCGTCCACCGTTATTACGGAGGTGTCAACTAAAATATGGAAATAGCTCGGCTGTATTTGAAACCGTCGAAGAAATGGCTGCCATAAGCGTAGCATAGGGCAGAGTGTGGCCGCCTTCGAAGCGAGTTTTCAGGTCTTTTCGTTCATTGTACGTGAGTGCCGTTTTAAACTTTACGGGCTGAATTTATCGGTCATTTATTCGCGCAGTTTCAATGCCGGGGGACGTTGGATAAAAGGCCTTTTCTCCGTAGGCTAGGGCATAGAATGGCAGCTGTTGGGAGGCCGTAGCCCGGGCCCATTGCCTTGGCCTGGCTGCCGGCCTTATATCCTTATGGGCCTTACGCGTATAGCAATACCGTGGTTCGTATACAGGGATTTAAAATGTTCGAAATTTATCGAACGCTAGTGACACGGCCCAGGATTTACAAAGCGAGGACGCCCAAGTACTAAATTAACGTTAGTTTGAGTCATAAAATGAGCTATTGACCTCTCTTTGTCCTATTTTTTACGAAATTCGAGTCTGGGGAATCGGAGGCCTAGGCTTCCCGAGGTACGTGGGTCAGATGGTATGGATTTGTTCACTAGGGGTATTGTTGGGGTTAGGAATTGGGCCTCAAGCATTTATTTGGCGAAAGCACCGTCCTTAACGATTTTTAAAAAGCAAAATGGCGTTCTTTTCTATTCTTTAGCATGGCGGTAAGGGGAAATGAAGGTCAAACATTAGATGCTTGTAATGGAAGTATGGCTGTCATTATAAGGTGGCCATAAAGTTTGTTATTAATAAAAAAATAATTTTAAAAGATTTTCTTAACCTGAAATTAGATATTTCTCAATGCCTTTTGTCAAATAAATTTTTTGTTGAATGTTTTTACTTGGTTTGCTTTGCATTTTCTGACTGAAGTTTTATGTTTACGTTTTGATAAACAATCAATGGATAATTTGTTTATTCCATGTAGCCCTAGTGAAATGGGATAATGCCCTGTTTTGATTACTTTTGTTTTCATTGATTGTCCATGTTTTGATCCGGCTGTTAGTTGTTTGACAACTCTTTCATTTTTCTTTAACATTTTGACATAGCTTGTTTTCGTAAGTGAAATTTCCTATAATTTGATTTTCGGGGGTGGATTCAAGTGACACCAACTTTTACGCTTCAGTGAGGTACTGTTACTTGTTTATGGGTGTTTCTGGCCCAGTTTACGAGTAAGCCTATAATTTCAAATAGATTAGTTTTGCTTCTCTTGCTTGGTTTTAATTTCTTTCAGATTGTACGCGTTCTATAACATTTTGATTGTGCGCACCAGCTAGTTTTCAGACCTAGTTTTCAGATATTGTCATTTGTGTTTCTTTGCAGCTCTTCTGGTTTACTTATTGTATGTTCGTTGAACTGTTTTTATTGTGGCTTCCTGTTCCTCCTGGTTTTTGAAGTATTGGGTGCTTGAAAGGGCCGTCTTTGTTTAGCCACATTCGTCACATAACTGCGTAACGTGTTGTGCTGTTTACCCTTCCAACTTCTGTTTTGCTGAATTTGTTTGCATTTTACCACTATGATGTGTTAATTTGCTTGTGTTTAAGTTCTTTTAAATCTCGTTGCATTAGTGTCCGTCGCCGGAGTTCGGTTAGTTCGTGTTTTTTTTTTTGTTTTTTTAATTCTTGGTGGGCCGAGGGGTTGATACGGTTTACTTCCAGTTAGTCTGTTCAATTGTTTTTGTTCGTTACGCAATGCGTCGCCCGGCCGGTCGCGGGAATGCGCACAAAGACGTTGTATTGCTTTCGTTTCTCCCCCCCCCCCCTTACCCCCCTCTCGCTTGCACCCCGCCCCGCCCCGGCCCGGCCCTGTCCCGCCAATGAGAGACTGCCTTTGAATTGTCGCCATGGCAACGCTTGGCATCCCTGCATAGACCACCTGACGTGCGTTTTGGCGCGAAAAGCGTGATGCAGGATGCTCGGCGATAGCACGGGCTGGCAGGCGGGGCTAAAGGCGGGGCTGGGCAGGCGAAGCGGCGTGCAGGCAGCAGCACTCGGGCCAGGCCGGCTCGTTCTCGCTCCCCTCTGGTTCCCTCTGGTTCCCTCTGGCTCGCCCGGTGCAGCGGCTGTCAGTGCCGTCCCGTGCCGTCGCGCTCGTCGCACGCTCAGGCTCTCGTTGCTTTGCGCCAGGTAAGTCTCGTTGCGTAGTTAGGCCCCTCCTTGCGTTCAAATTTGGGTCGTGTGTATACGTGTGCGCTTGTGCGGCAAGGGCCGAGGGGGTTGCTTTTTGGCTGGGCTCGCCACGTCCCGGTCTTTGGCCGGGCGAAGGAAAGAGAAAGAGAGAGGGAGCGAGAGAGAGACGGGTATATCGAGCGTTTGAGCGCCAGCCAGCCGCCCCGGCCCTCGGCGGCGAAGCTGGCTTGGCTTTGGCTGCGGCTCGGCTCTCTTCTCCCGTCTTTTCGTAGTTGGAATGCCGGCCGGCCGATCGTTGGGGGGCGCCACCGTCTGCGACGTTGCCAGACCAGCTCGCCTCGCCGCGCCGCCACGGCTCTCGTCCACTTGGCAGCTGCGCCGCGCCACGCCACGCCTCGCCGCTCGCCTCGCTACCCAAGCCTCCGCAGCGCTGCCACAGCGGAGAAGCCCGGGCCCGGGGCTAGTAGTCCGCAGCGTCGAGTGTTGTGCCCCTAGCCAGTCCCAAAAGCTGGAATCTCTAGCGGACCCGAGCCGTCCGGACCGACCGTACCGTCGCGGCGTCCCGTGGACGCGTTAGCGCGAGTGTGTGTGATAGCGTGTGGTGCACCGAAGATGTGACGACGCCCCGGGACTGCGACGACTCTCTCGGTCGTCTAGTGTGGTGTTTGTTCCCGCGTGGACGAGTGTGTGTGTGTGTGCGTGTGCCCTGCGTGTGCGCGGCGTGCCCCATCAGCCCGCGTCAAGCCGCGGCGTGTTCAGTTCGTTGGTGCCAGCTCAGGACGGGCAGATCCAGCCGTAGCGGCAAGCGGCCAGTTTTTCCTTTGTGCCTGTGGGCTGCTGCCTCGCGTTAGGCGGCGGTGGCGACGGAGGCCCAGCGCGCGCGCGCGCGCCTTCCCGGGCGGCAACGTAGCGTGTAGCTCTCTGGCCAGGAGCAGCTTGGAGTCGCGTTGGAGTTGTTGAACAGTTCGCCGAGCCATGTCTGATCACCGGGGTGCCTGGGGCGCCCACGGTCCCGGCCCGGGCCGCGACGACGCGGTGTGGTGGTCCGACCAGCAACAGCAGCAGCAGGCCGCGGGGCTGGCTAGTCTGCAGCACCAGCTGGCCCAGCAGCACCAGCAGCAGCTGGCCCAGCAGCTGCAGCAACAGCAGCAGCAACAACAGGAGCTGGCTGCGCATCTGCAGCACCAGCAACAGCAGCAACTGTTTAACTACAAGATGGCTAGTTCGTTTCCCAACGCGGCGGCAGTGTCGTCCTCTTCGTATGACCTAAGCACAGTGAACAGTATACATACTTCGATAGCGGGCCAATTGTCCCAACAGTCCCAACAAATTCAACAAGCCCAGCAGCAAGTGCAGCAGGGCCAAGTTGTACAACAGCAGCAGCAGAACAATCAGTGGTGGTACCCTGGTGGTATGCAGAACCCTCAGGCGCCTCAGGGTGTCAATATGAACATGAATGCTCAGCAAATTATGGTAGGTTGGATCGTGATTGTGTTCAATGTCAGGCCCTTGGTATTTGACTGTCGCTAGGACGCCCCCCCCTCTCTTTTCCCTTCCTCCCTGCCTCGCGCGGCCCGCAGCTCTGTCCGCTCCCACGTGGGGGAGTGATCCGGTCCAGCCGCAGTTGACTTATTCGCACTACAGTTGCGTCTTGTCAATGTGCAATGTGCCTGACTTATTTCTCAAAGTTCCGCTTCGTATGGTATGTAGCCTTGATTTACCTATTCAGTTTCAAGTTCTGTCATCATTTGTAGATGGTTTTCATAATGGTTGTTTCGAGGCAGATTTGACTTCTTGAATGTACGATACTTATTTCTTGTTGCCAAAAGCTGAACAGATCTGATTTGTTTACATGGCAGGCTGGCACCCCCCCAAAACTGACATTAATTTTCTGATTCCTTTGTCAGCTATGAACACAATATTCCAATCTAGTGTCATCACCCTGTCCTGAATTTGAGCAGTGTACTTCAAGCTGGTTTTAATCAATGATTCCACTGTAAACTAAAGTTGTGTGTTATGTTATGTGCAGAATCGAGGAAAGATGCCACGTAAAGACGCTAAACCGAGGGGCCGCATGACGGCGTATGCCTTCTTCGTGCAGACCTGCAGGGAGGAGCACAAGAAGCAGCACCCAGATGAAAATGTGGTGTTTGCCGAGTTCTCAAAGAA